GGGGGTCTTCAAATGCCCCTCACCTGCACCCCGCCCAGCTCTCCATTCACTCCCTGTCCCCCTAGCCACTCTCTCATTGCCCAGGTCCTCTTCACCAGAGCAGTGGGAGGTGTGTCTTCACCTCCCACTTGGGAGTTTAGAAAGTGGTATGATGGACAAGAGATGGTGCAAACAGGGGAATGTATGAAAGAAACTTAGACTGCCGGGTAGCTCCAAGAGAAAAAATATATTTTTAAATTTTTTTTGAAGATTCCCCCAATGTTTAAGGCCCTATGGAACCTGGATCCACCCCTGTAGTCTGAGTTTCTTTCATACTTAGCCACTACTTATCAAATGACCTTCCAAACATGCTTTCTAGGGCCCTGAAAGGAGCCCATGCAAGTAAGGGGCTGAAAATGATGGTTTTGTAGGTTTCTGGATAAACTTGCCTCAGAGTCTGATGTCAGGAAGGAGGATAATGGGAGATTGTAGGAGGAGACTGCTCCTTGCCTCTCCAGGGGGTTATAAAGGGGCAGCAGGACAGATAATCATTTGGGAAGAGAAATGGCCTGTGACAATGTCCCAAGTACACATAATGTGAAAATGAGAAGATGCTCACCTTTTAAAAGTTGTGTGATACTTGCCCTAACTTTCCTATACCCTCAATCCTCATGTTCCCCCTCACCTAGCAAAGTAAAGCGCCTGTCCACTTGTCAGTGTGCACTGGACTTCCAGGGGAACCTGGGGGAAAGAGAATTCTTTGGGGAAGACTCCAAGATCAAAACAAAAATTGAACTGGTGAGGAGGACCTTGCTTTTCCCTGAAATTCCTTTGCAACTTCCATTCCCTGGCCACCCCTCCCACGGTTGCCAGCTCCCCTCTATGGCTCCCAATGGATGTAGCTAGCCTCTGCCGAGATTTCCTCACCTCCATCAGACCCTTCTCTTTCTCTAAGAACCACATCAGGGTGAGCACCTCCCAAGGCTTGGGCTTGGTCGAAGACACCTCCCCTTGCAGTGTGTACCACACGGGGAGCACCACTTCCGCTCCCTCTACCGCCTGCAGCTTGGTCAGTCCAGGGGGCACATGCAGCTCCAGCTGGGCCCGCGACGGGGGTGCTGGGGACGAGAGTGAGGAAGGTGAGTGCAGACTCTGTCCACCGTGCGGCTGGAGGGGAGGACGAGCCTCGCGGGGTCCCGGCACTGCAGGTCTCCGGGACAGCCCAAGGATGGCTGACCTGGGACCCCACTGTCAGTTTCACCAGGGCTTATCCTCCCCAACCTCAGCCTTGTAGCAGGGATGGGAACACGTGTCTCTGCATTTCTTTGTATCCAGAAGTGGAGATTTCCGAGCCCCAAGGGGAGGGGGAAGATTTTCAGCGAGAAGGGGACGACAACAAAGAGGAAGGGGCAGATTAAAAGTTTTGATCCATGCTACACATAGGCTACTTGCTCCTGCAATTTCTCGGGGGCAAAAGCCAACAGGGAGAGACCCAGGCCAGGATCAACAGCGTTCCCATCTCCCGAGATCTCAGCCAGATGGGCATAGGGGGTTGGGATGGTTAATCAGTTACCGGTCAGCCCTGCGGCTCCTGAACTACTCTGAACCAGGGAGACTGGAGCGGCCCAGCGCCCAGCCCGGCCCAGCGACTGGGTGCTCCCCACCCTCCCGCTCAGTCTCCACACATGCATTTCCCCAGGGAAGCTTCTAAGGGCCCTTTTGGGGTCCAGGGGATCTGGGCCGGGACCTCTGAGGTCACAGGGAATCAGGGCCGAGCTGGGAGAACGAAGGTCTCCCGGCAATCAAGTACAAAACAACCAAGTTCGCAGCTGTGTCTGCCTGCATATGGCCTTCGGAAGGTGGCCAAGGGTTGGTTTCAAGGAGGTGACTGTCGAATCATGGCATCCAGGAACATTCACTACCCTTCGGAGAGACAATGGAGCAGCCGAGACAAAAGCCCTTTGGGGGAATAACCTTGGGCTTCGTACCTTGCCAGGCCTGGGGATGCTGGCGGCCCTAGTCCTTGGCCCTGCTCTTTCTCGGCCTCAACACTCCGCACTAGTGTCACCAGTGCCACCTCTGCGTGGTGGTCAGGGACAGAGGCCGCACACAGGCTGGGCGTTCCACCCTCCTAGAGAGGGGCTGAAGGCTTCTAAGGGCCCCAAAGCGGATCCGGCCAGGATGTGTGTCACCCCCACCGCTTCCTGGCTGGTCCTCTTTACAGAACCCCTACCCTTATTCCTTGGCCTTCTTAGCAGCCCCTTTTCCATTTCCTGGCAGGTCCCTGCAGGCTGAGCAGGAAACTTGTGCCTGTTGATAAGCCTGAAGACAATGAGGAGGCCGCAGCCGGACCGGAGGCTCTGTAGGCGAAAACAGCCTCGCCTCAAGGAGCCGGATGGCCCCTCAGGACCTGTTCACCAGCGGGGACCCTGCGAGGTCTGCGGGTGGTGCCCCTCTGGCCCAGCCCTTCTGCAGCTCACTCAGAGCGGACAGACACGGTTCCCACCCAGAAACCTGCCTGGGTCCCCCGAGAGGGGCCAGCTGCCTCCGTCCTGGGACCCCCAGCAACCTCCCCCAGGTCCTGCATTTATAATTTCACTTTGCAAAAGGTAGAGGGGGGATAAAAATCACTAGTACGGTCCACAGCGCACTCTGGGCAAAGGCTCCGTGCTGCGCCGCCAGCCAGAGACTGGGAGCTGGAGAGGGCCCGGCTTCCTGCCCTGGGTCCTGGGTGTCCGCTGGAGCAGAAGCCCCTCAACCCTTGTCCCCTTTCACTTCCAGGTACCACAGGGAGAGGAAAAGGGGGGCGGGGCTGAGTGAAGGAGACAGAGGAGCCCAGGAGAGAGACCCACTTCAGACCAGAGTGAAGGAGCAGGCCAGAGCGAAGGAGGACGAAAATGGGCCCGCTCCCCAGGGCTACTATTTTTAGTCTCCCTCTTTCTCTGAGAAACTCCCCCCGCGGGCTTCTCACGCCCCAGGGGCAGCAGCACTGAGCCACCAAGGAGGAGCCCTGCTTGGAGCAGAAGGGCCTCGCCGGAGCCCCATAGGTTAGAGCTAATGCCTCCCTGCCCACCCCAAAGCACCGCCATCCTGTGGACCATTTAACCCTCAAGTGGGCGGCTGGAGCAAGGCAGTCCCCAGGGCGGCCCCGAAGCGATATTGAGGTTGAAGCCCTGAGTATGAAAACTGAGGCTCAGAATTAGGATGGAAAGAGAATAGGGTGCAGGAGAGCTGCAGATGACGCCCTGGACACAAACTTGAATTTTTCTCCCTTACTTCTGAGATCCTCAGCAGGAAGGGAGCTGGGGAAGTTGGGGAAAAATGCAAAAAAGGAAAGAGGTGTTGAGGCTGAAGTTGGGAGGTGGTGCTGAGACATTAAGGGACCATGGAGCAGGCCCACCAAGCCTAGAGGGGGAGGAAGCTGTCCAGGCTTTGTTGTGGCTGGCAGTCTGGTGTTGAGTCCTGCTTTGTCTGGGGACCCTAATACTTCATGCCCCAACACCCTTGCAGCACAGACTGGGCTAAAGGGTGAAATTTAGGTGGTTCCCATCTCAGTCCCCATCACTGTGGTTCAGTTTCTCTCTACATCTTTCCAAGCCTCACTTTCCCTGGTGACCTCCAACCTGAGAGAAATGAGTTAAACTGATCCCGACAAACCTACCCTTCACCCCCATTCGGGATCCTTGAAGAAGGATGGCAGGAAAGCCTGTTTCCTTATAAGTAAAACAGCTTATAATGAGTTCCTGAGGGTCCTTTTTCCCCCAGATGTTGCCCTGGGCCACCCCCAGCTCCTGGAAGCCTCCAACACACCTCAAGCACTTGCTGTATGGAGGTGCCCTAATTCTCTGGCTCTTTGAAGCCCTCCTCTCTATTTCCTTTGTCCTTTTGGCTCTGGGAACCAATGGGGGTGGTGGACCTCTGGGGGGGGGGTTCATAATTCTGCTCAGTTCGGCATTCGAACCCCTCCTCCATTTCCTGTGTCCCAAATGACCTCACGGTCGTGCTTTTGGGGCACCTCCCTGGATTCCCAGGGCAGGAAGCAGGAGGGGGCAAGAGGGAGGTTCTGGGCTGGGGAATTGATGTGAGGAGCGTGAAGTGCGTGTGTCAAGCCTAGGGACCGGGAATTCCCCAGGGGCTCTTGTACATCAGCTTGTGTGTGGGGTTGGGGTGTGGGTAGGGGGCGGGAGGGGGGCTGCAGTTAAGTCCTTAAGCTCTTTAGCCAGCGTCTTATCGAGCAGCTCAGCTCATCCGGCTCTGCTGGGTGGAGGTGGGGAGTGGGGGTGAGGAATGGTTCCAGTCACTCACCCCAAGCGATGCCCTATCCCTCTCCCCTATCGCACACACAAACACGGCGCCCAAAGTGGTAACTGTTCCCTGGCACAGGGGGACAGAAGTCAGCACCAGACAGTGATACCCTGCATGAGGGAAAGTAGAAGCAGGGGAAGGGAGAGAGTCAGAGGCGGGAGTCCCGCCCCTCCCAGTTCCTCATCAGTGCCCAAACCGCCTTCCTCCGGGCCAGGGTCACCCATTCTCCCGTCTCATGTCTCCTCCAGGTCCAGGGTTTCACTCACCGAGGGTAGTCAGCCCCAGGAACAAAAACCGAAGCAAGCTGGTCGCCGGGGACCCGGGCAGGGAAACCATGGCCTTCCCTGGCCCTGACGGAGTCAGGGGCACCGGCTCCGGGACACACCGACCAACAGGTGCTGAGGCTGCGCGACAGCCGGAGTGGACGCGGGAGCCGGGCTACTGACACCAAGGGCGCTCCGGCCAGAGTCTGTGCGTTCGTGTGCCGGTGGTGGGGTGGGGACCGACAGGGACTGGGGGGCGGGGCGTTCGAGGGGGCGGAGAGGTCGCGGTCCTCCCGGGCGGGGCGCGCGGGTGACCCGCCGCGGGGGGAGGGGGCGCTCCTAGCGCTCCGACGGCCGGATGCCAGGCCTCCGCCGGCTCAGGGCGCAGGGTGGGGTCGGGTGAGCTGTGGCATCCTCACAGCCCGCGGGGGGCAAGGGCAGAAGAGAAGGGTCCTGAACTATCACACTGCGCCATACTCTTCCTCCTTCGCCGGCGTGGGGTAGGCAGGAGGGCCAGGAAGGGCCGGAGGTTTGGGGATTATCCGACGTCCAGGGGCCACACGCCCCCTCACCCTCAACAGCCCAGACTGCAGAGCGACTAACCGGCTCCGAGCTTAGGGGTGCCGCAGTCCTCAGCCTAAAGGAAGAGGAGGGGAGCCGCATTTCTCCAGGGGCCACTGGGGCTCCGCGGCGTGGGAATCGAAGCATTAGGAAGGGGCCAGAGCGCCGGCCGCGCGGACCCGGTTCTGCGGGCCGAAACTACCGATTTCCCAGCGCCGGGGGCGGTCTGGGCCGCGGGAGCCGGCCCGGGGAGCGGCCCGGTTAGGGAGGCGGCCACGCCCGCCTGCGCCCAGTCCCGCACGTGCCGCGTGCGCCCGAGGCGGCGGTAGACGATGCCCGGGGCCGCGCCGGCGGTGGACGCGGGGACTGTGTTCGCCTGTGGGAGGAGAAGAGGGGGTCTCTCATTAGGTTCTCGGAGACTCCCTAAACCCAGGCCTAAGGGTCAGCCGGGGCTTGTGCAGCAAGCCAGGGGCAGGGAAATGATTGGCGCAAGAAAACCCCAGGAGCTGAGCAGGAAACTGAGTAAGCAAGAGCCTGGTTTCCCGCTCAACTCGGAAAAGCCTTTTGCCGACCGAGGAGGAGGAGACGGCAGCTGCAGGAAGGTAGACAGAACGAAGTCCCTCCACTTATTTATCCCCATGTCTTTGCTGCCTCCCATCCCTCCTCAGGCCGGCTCTGATCCTTTAATTCCCGGGACTACATCTTGTTCGCTGTGAAATTTAATTTAACCGTCCCTTCCCCCTCCACCCCCTCGAATCCCCCGCCAGTCGGTCCAAGGCGCCTCTGCGCCCTCTGGCGGCTGCAACTCCCTTACAGAAGGGCACGCACCTGTTCTGGCTTCTCTGTCCGGCAGCCAAAATAAAGATGCTTCAAACGTCCGGGCACAGCTCAACAACCGGTTAAAGGTCACCGAGGACAGAAAACTAACAATGAATCCCTGGCGCTGCCTTCTCTGAGTGGCAGTTGTCTGGGAAGAAAAGCAGCCAGGCTTCCTGGATTCCATTTACTTTACAAGGTTCTGCTCTAACACTGTGTGTGATCCTTGAGCCCGGGCTGCCCAAGATCCGTTTCTACGCAGCGCCCCACAGACCCTCTCAGCTGCTTCTTCCTAGTGTGGCCTCCCTGGCTACTCTTTAAATACTTGCCATGCCGTGGCTTTGAGAAATGCTTATGCAAACACTAGACTGCTCATGCAACCCCTGGAATCTAACACTTGGCAGCTCAGTGACAGCAAAGGCAACAGTTTTAGGTAACTGCCAGTCTCATACCCTTATAGAGGGACCTATAAACTTGGAATTGTCGAGTAAATTGTGTGTGTATGGGGAGAAGGTGCTGTTGGTTTGGTTTTTCTATTCCATCAGTCAACTTTTTAAAAACTATGCTTTAGTTTTCATTGCAAACCACCTCTTTAAATATCCCTCCTTTGTTTCCAGATCAGGGCTAGATTATCTCGTATCAATATAACTCCTTCCAAGAAAGGCAATGCAAAGCTCTTGGTTGCATCCCAGTAACACCAAAGCATCCGATTACAGAGGCTGTGCTCATCCCTGTCAAGTGCTACACACGGCAGAGCCTCAACATTCACTCTCAGGAGCTAACTTTTCAGAATTTGCCTCCCAAGTAACCTACAACATCAGAAGTAAAGCTACAACCAAAGACTTGTAAGCAGTGACTCTCTCCATGTGACACAAGAGCAATCCCTTGGGTCAGGACACTTTCACTGCTCTTACCCAGTCAGAGAACTTTCTACACTATCACCTATTCCAGCCACTTTTTTTCTGCTTACCCTGAGGCGGTCAAGTGGTAGGAGTTAGCAGAGCAGCTCCATTACTTTCTGAAAGTTTTTGCCGAGATGCATTTTAGGGTGAACATTGCTCTCTGCCCTTGTGTGAAGTGGGAATGTTAGCACAGATAATCTGTGAGTGACCTGGGAATGGCTTTCACAAACATGCTGCGTGCAAAAGCCAAGTTCATAGTTTCATATATTAAGAGAGACTTGCAGGTTACAAGCGTTTCTCCCAATCATACTGTACAGTATTTTCTAATGCTGATTCTTACATTTGAATATAGTGTCTCCATCCCCCTTGAATCAGTTGTAAGGCTTCATTAAGGTCTAAATAGTCCACTTTTTGTTTTTAGGAATGCTCCCATCATTACTGGACACCCTGCTGTCCTCTTTTCTAGATTGTTCTGGCCAAAGAGAGTGAATATTCTGCACCCGCAAGGTACTTTCTTTCCAAGTCTCCATTCCCAGTGCTCAGCTTTGTCCTCTTGCCCCTACCCTCACCATCCCAAGCCACGTGGCGAAAACACACACTGGTCAGTCTTTGCCATATTCCCCATGCTGCCTGCTCAGAGTGGTCTAACGATGCCCATCCTCGGTAACGTTAGGTAGCTCTCACACATGCTCACTGAACACTCCCAAAATGTGCTGCCCCTGCTAAGTAACTCACAGCAGTGAGAAGTGGGACAGAGGGAAAAGTGAATGAAGCACAATGTGAGTTTTAGGGCTGGTCAGAGGCAAAGTTTGGGGGATGCCATGTACTACTGCTGGTGATAATGCTTTTTTCCTGCAGCACTTAGCACTAATACTGTGAGGTTATTGCCACAAAATGGTCAATGGGGCCTCAGCTTTTAGGACTTCAATTCCAAGTTCCAAAGAAGAGCAAACACAAGAATCTCCTAAGGCCCATACTTACTGTGCCCAGGGAGAGGAGGTGCTACCCTCACACATTCCAGAATATTTATACTCTCCTAGTAGCTCACATCAGGAAACAGACAACTCCATAAACCCAGGCTCAGACGACATTATTAAAAGTCATTCCATTGACTATAAGCTCTCTAGCCATTAGAAAAATAAATAAGCATCGAACAACCAAGGAGTATCAGAATGAGAAAAAAAATCATTGATTTAAGACCATTTGGGTAGTGGGAAAGAAAAATAACATTGTTTGAATCAATATGCAGTTTTACTTTCCACAGTATAGAAAAATAGGGAGAATTATAGCTCTTAGCTGGATTTGCAGTCCATTTAAAGTAGCGCACCTGAGAGATGTTGGGGGAATCATTAAAGATAAATAAATAACCAGTCTAACAAGTCCCTGCCATGAGACCAAAGTGACCCTTGACTACCTTACTAGTAAGCTAGTTCTTAGCCAAGAGTACTAACCTCTCAGTGGAGTAGTGCTTGTTGACCCACAGAAATCTCGGAACGATCTAAACGTGATAGTTACCTTCCCAATGGACTGATACCTTAAAATTCCCTGTCCTCTGGATCACTGACAAATTCTGTTTGGATGTTTCTATTAGATCTCCTCTCCTCTTTTGTAGGCAGTATGGTGGCATCAATTCCCCCCTTGTACCCCTGGGAGAGCTGCCCCTGATTACTGAGTGTCAAGATGAGGGATGAAAGTCTCTCACAAATGTATGTACTTAGAGCCCAAAGGAATATCATTTTGTAGCTTTTGAAAAAGTAATGCCAAACGAAATGTCCAATGGCCCTTGGCACTCTGGCAAGAAATAATGACACTGGTCAGCGGGGACTGTGTAGAGGGTGAGAGGAAGTGGAGCTGTCATGCTCTGTTTGTTCTGTTCATTCCTAGCAGGGAAGTCGGAGCACAGCCAGTGCGCCCACGCTGCTACAGAAAGCCCAACTAGTATGCCACGAGGCCAGGAATTACTTTAATATTTTTTTCCTTAAAAAAGTTTAAATGGCAACACAATCATAAAGTTGGTACATCACAGAAACAAAGGTCTTTGCAGGCAACACTGATTGGGAATAGCAAAACACTTGGCTGGTGAAAAAAATGAAACTCTAAATTATATACAATAGTAGCTAAGGGTAATATTGAAAAACAGTCTATTTACTGTGACTCGAGATTTAACTTGCCATTATCTATTGCTTATTTATTCAAGGTTGTAAATAATACTTATATAGAGACATAGAGATGTGTAAAAATGAAACATCGTGAAAAAAATACAATTTTTCAATTTCATATGAAACTCAAAGTATAAGTTTTGTCCAATATGGAATGTACCTAATATTTGTTTACATTAGGGCTCTAAAATCCATTTAAAAATTGCTTTGTTTGTTTGTTTTTTAAAAAAGAAACAACTGCCCACCATGCAAGTCCGCTGTGTAGCTTGCTTGCTCAAAATGAGCATTTTCAGGTGAGGTCTGTTTCTTCTGCCCAAAGTCTGCTATGATTCCTTAGTTGTACTGGCCCGATCGTGGAAAGAGTTTCCATGAAGAGTCTGATGGCAGCATCTGGATGAGGGACAGTCTGGATAATGGGAAGTGAGAAGAGAGGTAAGAGCCCAAATCCTTATGAAGGACGACATTCAGTTGTTAAATTTTAAGGGGTATCCAATGGCTTTTTCCAGGCACTCAACCAAAGAGCCAGCAGAAAGAAAATCCCTCTCTACTTCTACAAATTTGATATAGATGGATTTGGGGGAAACTCCAGGATCCACAATACAGTTCTGAGACAAAAACCCATTAATACCAACCCAATCTTTGCTGAAGGTTTTGGTATTTGCTTGGAAATGTAAAAATAAGCATTGCTGCAGAGTCCTGACCTCAGCAATCCCGAGGTAGCAATAGATAATTCGGGTGGGCTCTATTTCCACCTGTAGTGAGGCTTGTGCTGAAAGGGTTTCCAAGTCAACCCGGCCCTCCTTTCCTGGGTCCAGGGGACGTCGCTCCATGTGGGGTGAGGAGGGCCTCTCAATACACTCTTCGTAGCCAATGGCATAGAGGCCTGGGCTTTTGGGAATGCCTCCTGGCAATAAATACTGAACAACGTTCCCACCAGTTGGTTTGGAGTGGGCAATGGGTATCCAGTCAATTTCCATGTGCAGCTCCAGGCACCTTGCTTCACTAATAGTGATCTCTAAAAATTTGTAGTAAACATTTTTCCAGTTCATTTTCTGCACTCGGGTCATGATGATCCGTCCCTCGGGCTTCTCAGAATTGAAGTACTCCCGGAGGCGCTTGCCAAGGGGCACCTGGGAGCTGATCTCAGCATAATGGTAACGGATATCCTCTTTCCAACGGGTGTTATAACCAATTCCGAAAATGGCCAGTTTATTAGAAAGATGAAGTCTTGAAAAGTCTGTCCAGCTCTGAAAGAGTTCCCATTTCAACTGTACTGATTCCAAAATCTGTACAATATTCTGCATGATGTCTCTTTTCCTAGAAAGAGAAATAAAAGATACCTCAGGTGTCTAGATGAGCACTGTCCAACAGAACATTCTGCAGTGGTGGAAATGTTCTTTATCTGTGCTGTCCAATACGTTAGCCATTGGCACTTAAAATGTGGCTAGTGTGAGTGAGGTATTAAAATTTCAATTTATTTAAAATTACATTTAAATAGCCGCAGGTGACTAGTGGCTACCATATCAGACAGTGCAAGTCTAGATAATCATAGTATCAAAATCTGAGAAATGCTCACCCCAGGAAGCTTCTAGGAACTAATGATAAATTGCTTTCCATTATTTCTATAGTCTGGCTGTATTACACTTAGTAACTATTGACATATAAGATCCTAAGATTTCAGAAACACAAGGGTCATGAATTTTTTTAAGTGGCTATTATAATGCATATGATGGCCTTCAGATCTAAGTACCAAAAGCAGGTGAAGGACGCCGTATTCAGAAAGGTAACCAGTATCAGTTAAAAAAATGAACAGATTAATTTCTAATCTGGAAATTCTGAAAGTTCAGTAATTTTGGCCTATACGTGCTTGCCATAGGGAAATACACAACCAGTTAAGACTCATGAGCTGATACAAAATTATGAAAAAAATGACATTTTCTTCTATTTGTCTGAAATACAGTACTACTCCCCCTCCCCACAAAAAACTGTCAGTTTAGCACAGAATTAAGATCTGAGACTTCAGCTGGAAAGTCCATATTGACCTTTGGTTTTAAGAGAGAAAAATTCCAAATAATGAATTGAGATTGTTCTAAAAACTATTTTATAAAGGGAAGCAAAAATATAGAAATAATTTCAGTTTTGACAATTTTGTTTCTCAGGTAGGGCAAACCTTTGTATTGGAAGATTGGAGTTTGTTAAATATTAACTTAGTAACAAACAATTACACTCTACATCAATCATGGTTTATGCTACAAAAAAACTACCACATATACGATCAAACACAGGCAAGAAAAGAGGGTGTAATGGCTGTTTGCTAACAGCTTCTTGGAAGGAGTCAGATCCTTGAAGCTTTCCCGTTAAATTCTCATACCTTCTAGGAGAGCTTTCGGAACAAACTGGGGAATCTTTCATTCAAACTGGGGAAACAGTCATTCTCCGTCTGTCCTCTTACTCTCCTTGACTTACTCTTTGAGACGACAAAGAGCTACTCTTTTGTTATCAGCTGCTTCTTGAGCCAAAGACTGCCCTGGACTTATCCTCCACACTTTAGTTTGCCTTGAAAGCTACTCAAGGATCTGAGTGGCCATCTAGATGAAATCATTGCATTTCTGGCGAACTGTTTCTCTTCTCAGAGTACACAAAGGCACTCGATCACCTCTCTAATATTGAGATTGTGGTGCTTATGAGGCTAAGACATAGGACTGTGTTTCTGCACCAGTCAATGCTTTAAAGAAAAATTATGTTTCACAGCCACCATCCTTCCTTGTCCTCTTTTAAAATATTTTACTGATCTCAAGGAGGACTAAGCTAAGGAGTTGGGATGGAGGGCAGAGGTTTGTATCTGCTTTGCTAACTGCTGTATCCCAATGCCTGACATACAGCAGATACTTGATAAATCAGTGGTGACCCTTCTTCACTGGTGAAGGACAGGACATATCAGCTAGTTCAGGCTAATCCCACCTACACCTAGAGTAAAAAAAATCCAATGCCCACATGAAGTGTTTATTCAGCATTGTCATTGCCCTAAATCATCCGTAAGGAGCAGGTATGAGGAATCTGTTGCACTGGAAAATAAATCACCTATTAGGAACCTCTCACCCTGTGAGCTGAAACCTGGAGCAGAGGCAGCCAGGCTAGACATTTCTGCAGAGCCTGTCAGCTTTCTGCCCCACTGATCTGATCTCAGCCTGACACTCTGTGGGCTCAAGTCTCGGACTGGCTTCTTGAAGCTCTGGAGCACAGTGAGAACCGGCCCTGTTATTCAAACAGTTCCTGTTGCAGTTCCTGATTTCTGAAGTTCCAACCATGGGGAACGTTCAGGGGGTCTGAAACTGGGGACGCCAGTTCTGTGAGGTCTGAGTTCACCCCCAGTTACATCAGCTGAGCCTCCCCTGTAGTTCCTAAGAGCTTGCTTTTTGATTCCCAAAATGGAATACTCTAAGGGATTTAAGTGTCCCTCCGCCCCTCCTATCATTTCACCTAACCCCAGACAAACTCAGGGCCTTGCGAGTCATCTTTGTATTGTACTTACACATCCAAACATCCACACCCACACACAGGCAAATACCATAAACAAGCTTATTTTCATGTAATGCATTTACTTCTTGTTGTATACAAAATCCTCAGCGCTTTAGGTTAACCACTGGAACACTCAGGCTAAGAAGGTGAGAAAGATCAACTAGCCCTGCCTCCTCAGTGGCGGCCGTGACTTTCGCGGCATGTCTAACAGCAGCAGTCACTCTCTGGGTCTCCCCATTAGACTCAGGGAAGTGCACTCTGTAGAAGATGGAACATCTACTTACTGCGCTTCTTCAGAAGACTCCTGTTTTATTTTTAACGTTCTCTTTGTGACAGGTATTTCATCTGAAAAACAGAGTTTTGGGAACACATTATATTTTCCTCAGTGGTGGCATATATTTATGTAGATAAGATGTATTAGGTAGATATGCTTACTTTTTGTTCCATACTTTCCAATGTGAGAACTTAATTCGAGTGTCAAACACTATCCAATGCAAGATTTATAAGTATAACTCTTATTTAATGAGATGCGTACATTTATATGCAAGATCAGAAACCAGTTCTACAAGTATAAAAATCTTCAAGGTCACCAGTGGATTTCCAGCTAGGAGCTTAAAGCTTAATTTCACTGCAAACATGATTTTTTAAGGAACGAGAATGAAAATAACTCTGTTCTACTTAGATTTTCTAGGTAGGTTTTGCAGAGCAGTTATTCCCCCAGTATCAGGATCAATATACTCTGTATGTTATTTTTTTCCAAAGGTTTGGGTGACTTAACTCTCTCCAGTAAAATCGGAGTTATAGGTTGCCACAGTAATTTAGACCTCATTCCACATTGAAATTAAGAGGGAGTGATCACTTAGCATCTGCTCTTTTTATTCTTCCAATCACTAAGTCTCTTTCTTACATTGTGTTAGTCTTACAGTTCTATAGCTTCTTTCTTTGTTCCCTCTCTTCCAATATTTGAGATTTTTTTTATTTAGAAATAGCATTCATAAGAAATATTAGCATTCAACCCTTTTTCTTTTGAATTAGCATTTCTCTGTCATCAGGACGTCTGTAAAACAGTGCCTATAGACTTCTACCTTCAGCTAGGGAGGCACATTTACAGTGCCGATCCCAGTTCTGTTTCCTCAGGGGCTGCCTGAGCACCTCGCTGTCGAGGAAGGACGTTTGCTCGTGAGCCCTCACTGCACCACTTGCTGCTAATGCACAGTGGCCGCAGCAAAATCCTGCTTAGTACTTTCAAACTATGAAAACGAAAATTGGAGCATTTACTGCAAGAAGAAACAAAAAACAACTACATATACCTTCTTAATTAGGCCACATAAGTTTAGACTTGATGGCCAGGAGTGTTATTTTCCATTTTTAATGTGAAGACTGTGAATAAATCATTCCAGCTACTGTTGGGATGGGATCCTAATTTATGAAGTTTGAAGGAGTAGGATCCCTGGTAAAGTTCAAATATCAGCTCCTTTCAAACCCAGGCTTCCCTCCATTTACTCCTCAGACTGGCGCCTGGGAAGGGACCTTTTCCAGATCACAAACAGAAAAAAAAAAACTGGGGATAAAGGAAAGGGAAGACAGTTATATCCATCGCGGTTGAGCCAAGAGCCAATATTCTCGGCAGTCGTTTTAGAACTAGGAGGTGCAGGATATTTTAAATTGCATAGGATTCTATCTGTCACTGAGCTTCGCTGTGTAGCTCAGAATTAAGAATTTGGGAATTTGTCTTTAGGAACTTTGTGGGGCCCAAATTACCAAGCACTAGCTGGCACTTTAAGATTAAACCAAGGATGCCCAAATTGCCCCAAATAAACTGGCTTTATGCGTTGTGCTGTCAGTGGGAATTGTACAACAAGGTATTACAGACATTAAGAACCATATAAAGATATGTACACACACACACACACACACACACACACATCATTGATGCTGGCTTTCTTACCCAATTCCTGATCTGTTGGATAGCCATGGAGATCCTGACTGTGGTTTCCCCAGTCCTCCTGTGAATACTCCTCCATAGTGCTGCCATCTGACTCCAGCTCCTGGTACAAGCCACTACTGTTAATAAGTACAGGCTGGCAGGGCTGAGCATCCCATCCTCCCTGACCAAACACCTGTTCCAACTGTTCAAATGTGTAACTGCTCTTTCTTTTCCCAACACCATGTTCTTTCACCCGACTGTAACACCTGCGAAGGGTCTAAGACACAAAGTCTTTTGTTATTCCTTTAAAGCTGTACTTCCTCTTCCAGGTACGGACCACAGATATTAATTACTATTAGACAGACACAGACAGACAAACACAGACACATTGTTACAGGAATGCTAGATTTCAAATTCATTATTATATTAGAAAAAAATACTAATTTAGCATTTAATCAAACATGTTATAATTCAAACAATTATTTTGCAATTAATTATCCATTAAACAAGAAACATTACAACATTATTGCATGTATCCCATACACATATTTTTATACCCCCACCCCCATTTTAAAAGAAAAAGAAAAAAAAAAAAAACAAGAAATACCAGCCAGCCAATAGGATGCACACCTGCCACAGAAAAGAAAGAGCTGCTATTGTGCCCAGAATTTGGAAAAAGTGAGGGGAGGGAGGACAGAAAGAAGAATTTCCCAAAGCAAAGAATAACCTTCCTTACTCTTGATTAAGAAAGAATACAGGGTGAAAACAATTGCCTAAATGAATGAGCTAGTAAAACGTATTATTAACATAGTCCGTATTCCTTACTAACCCACTTTATCTTTGGGGAAGTTGCTAAAATTTAAAAGAGATTTCATATCAATCATGCCACAGATTCCCAGTCTCCAACATCAATTATCCAGAAACAGCACCTATGCCTAGAAATTAACCAGTAATAATACTAGTCTGTTCTACCAACTCAGACTGCCAGCCAAACAAATCAAGAAGCCAATGATTTCTTTTTGGGGCGGGGGGAAGTGAGGTGGAAGGGTGTTATTTCACTTCTTTTTCTGCCATATGGCACACAGCAAATAAATATTATTATGCACGTCCACAGATAAAACCTGGATAATGTTATTATCTTGCACAAGCCTTCAATTTGCTTCATGGTGTTCTAATTAATGCACATTTCCGATTATTAGTCCAGTTTCCTTAGTTTAATGGTACATCTCATGCTATCTGACATGATTGTTCAAGAGATAAATCAAGGACTTGGTCCCAGTCCTTGCACCTTAGTTCCAAATTTAGCTTAGTTACATTCAGTCTCTAACCCACCTCTGCCTCCTTCTGTTCCTTCGAATCTCCTTTCTACTTTAGTGGGTTTGACTCTGAGAATTTTCATGACAGACAAGACCCTTTTTCTCTGGTGGCTCCCAAATACTTTCTAACTCAGCTGTGCCAAAGCACTTCACCTCAGACTTCATTTATACACATTAGCCAGACTATAAATTTCTCCTGAAATTGAGATTACTTTCCATAAGCCAATATATCATCTAGTCTCACCAAACGAACACAACTCTGAATAATCTTTCCAGAGCCTCTGCAAAATCTCAGTATCACAGCTGCAAGCTACTGGAAGACACGCCGTCAAATACTTTGCAGATCTGTCCCTTGAGGCCAGAAATCCCGACGGGCAAAAGGAATAATAAAAGCATGACACATACGACGATCTTCCTCGGACACAAGCAGAGCAGCGCTTAGAGCCACTCCATCCTAAAACCAGCCAGCCTGTGCCCTGCATAAGCACCTGCCTCATTCTCCCTTTCTGGAGACCTCTTCTGGTGCCTCAAATGATGCCTTAAAAAAAGTTGAGGTTTCTGATAATATACTCTTTAAGAGTTCCTTCTTTCTCTTGGTAAAGGATAGTCACAAGTATGTAACACACAACTTTCTAGAACAAATCAGAAATGAACTTGGGAAACGTGTCCTGAACAACTCTTTCAATGGAAGGAGACAAATGCCTGCAGCAGAACTAATTGGACTTTCTACACACTCCCCTTTCCTGATGCCCTCTGCCCTCCTTGCAGGGATTGGAATTTGAATTGCAAACATCTCCTGCCAATTTATTTTTATCTCACAATGTCTAGTTTCTGCCTCCAAGAACACCCCAACCACTCTTTTCAACTCCTCCAAGGACCGTAAATGGAGAGTCCCAGCCATGTGCCTTTCACCCTTCCAAGGCCATAAATGGAGATGGAAACCATGCCGCCGCTCACTACTTACTGCCTAGAGAAAGGCATTCAAGACACAAAAGAGCCCAACTGGAGCTGTCACTGAGGGTTATTTCAGAAGTCAAGGAATAAAACTAGCATTCCTTTGAAGGAATTATCAGGATTGTGACATGGGCATAAGCAAAGCCACCAACCTTTGACCATGTACGTGGTGGAAAACCACAGAAAAGATTTACTTTCTTTGAAACTACCAAATTGAGCTTAAAATGTCACTTAGCGGATGTAATTATGACTAAGGAAACTACCAATATCTAAGGGTTTCAGAAATGGAAGAACAGTGGGATGAGATATTTTATATTTCATCAAAAAAGCCTAACAGACCTTGCCACCTCTTATTTTAGTGTACTTTTGATCTACACGTTAATAGTGTAATAGGCTGATATGTAAAATATCTATTAGGGGGTCTGAATGAGAAATGTTCTGGTAACTCCTAAATCCATGTGATAGGAATCTGAAGTATTAAAATAATGTTTAAAAAGATTTCCAAATTGATTTTAACTCTCTCAAGGCATAAATATATAAGAGGTACTTTCTGGGTTCAGTGAAGACCACACAGATCCAAGGAGAGGCTGTTTAAATAGCACAAGTCAACTAAGATAGAAAAAAGAGTAAGAACTTACACACCAGCTTGACTGCTACTGTAAGAAAGACTAGGATTTAGTTAAACTAGAGGGACTTGGACATATGGAGACTTTTCAATTCTTATTATCTGTAATAAAGCAGAAGAGGTTACACTTCCCACACACTAAATGATTAACCAAAGCATACCGTTATGTGATTGTTGTATCTACGTGAACAGTCCTAAATAAGCCGACTACATACCTACTGTAAATCTGAGATTCACATAATGATCTGGAATCTAGGAAAAATGGAGTCTCGCCTCCCATATTAGACGCTATACCAAACCCAACAAGAACCTCAGTGCAGCTTACTTGGAGAACCGTCTCCTGTTCAACACAAAAACTTTGATTTCTTTCCTCCTTCATTCACCTCACTCATTTTAGAAATGTACAGTCACTTAGCTCTAGCAGTTTTTTAAAAATTAAGATCTCAGTGGGGAAAGAATCTGCTAAAGATTATGAGACTACACTATTGACAATTAAGAAGAGTAACGCTTCCCTTGCTGTTGGAAATGTCCGCGGTAAATCGGGATCCCTGTCTCCGCCCTGGGGCGAGAGCTGTGAGATAACACGACCTCCTGAGTGAAGCCACAGCCACAGAGGCCAGGGGGAGTCAAGAAAGAACTAAAGCACAGGAAACAACCTGATGAGGTGGTCAAATCAGAGGAGGTCAAAGGTATTTGATTTGGAAGAAATGCCAAGTGAACTTCTGGTAAACCCACTGTGCCAGGCATTAAATGGCTACAAAAGGAAAAGACGTGGAAGATGTCCCATCACCAAAGCAGGGAGAAAAATAAGATGGCTGACAACTGACAATTTATAGACAGAGGGAGAGTTCTGCCAAAGTTTAAGATTACAGTGAAAGGAAATGAGAGAATAAAGATGACATTCATTGTGGATGGATGTAAGGGGAGTCTGGGGGTGGGGGGGGCAGGTAAACAAAGGAAGGAGTTTTAGATTGGCAGGATTGGGGGTTTAACGGCAGCAATGCAGAGAGAGACCCAGGGTTACAGGACACGTAACATTAAATACAGTGCACAATGCAGCTATCTTGCCAAAGTAAGTAAATCCAGTATTGGGTTGTATAAGCAGAGGAATCACATGTAAGCTATGAAGGTGGCTCTTCCTCTCTATTCAGCACCGGTGAGGCCACAGCTGGAGCACAGCATTCAGTTCTGGGCATCGAACCAGCTACAAGAGAGGGAAATTGTAGAGTTCAGAAAAGGGCAAATAAAATAATGAAAGGCTTGGAAAATAAGATCTATAAGCAGGGCCAGTGGTTTCATCAAAGCCCTTCCTGACATCATATCAGCTACTCTGGGGGTAAAAATAAGGTTTCTTTTGTTTCCGTGTCCTCCAATCCCTCCTTTGACTTTCAGGAGGTGGGAAGAACAGAATTCTTCCCTGGTATGGCCAAGTAGGAAGCAAGCTAAATAAATCTTATGGGCATACGACACCCAATTCGGCTACTGGCTCAATCATTTTCTCAAAATTTGCCCCGTTTCATACAATCATAAGATCATCGCCATGACAAACCACTGTTCTAACAGAACTGACCATGCGTGGAACAGGATATATAACAAGGAGGAATAGAAATAAGGCGTAACCGCCATATAAATGTTTAGAAAACACTGGCCTGATCAGTGTAAGATGTCAGATGAAAAACAGTCAAACTGCAGGGGGGACAGCTTAGTTATAATAGCAGGAAACAATGTTATAAGAAAAAACAAGCAGTGAAACAGATTTTCAAATATAGCTGCTAAACTGGCCACACTCAAAATGGATTACATAGTTTATCTTAACCCACTGCTAACTAAATGTGATCAATTTAAGATTATTTAACCCAAAAGATTAAATAAAGAGTACACTTATTTGCAAACAAAGGCTTTAAAAAATCATGTTATATTCCACAAGAGGCAGTGGAAATTACACTGGGAGCAAACCTCCAGTAGAACTTTACTATCTGCTTTCTTAGGTTTTCTGTACATCAAAATCTGGCGAAGTGACTTGCCAATCACCTAATCCTTCAAAACCACCAACCAAAAACCCCAACAAAACAAAACCAAAAGTAAAAGCACAGCACTGCTCTCACACTCCCCGGTTCTTAGTGCTACAGAGGTTTTGGCAAATGAGAAATCTTTTTATTCTTACGAGTCCCTTTTCCTTTTCCTCTCCCTCTCCAGAGCAGAGGTTCTTAACTTTTCAGGGTCCTGGATCCCCTCCCCGGAAGCACACACATACAAAACTGTTCTGTACAGTGTTGAGGGAACATGGACTATCTGAAGAGCTCATACAAGAATCTCGGGTTAAGAAACTCTGCTCTCTGCCATGGGGTTGTTTCTTCTACTAAAGAATATAGTAAGTATTAGTAAGAAACCCTAAAATAAGGTAGACTTAGCCTGTGTCTTAGGTTTTACAAGAGAGTCTGAAGACTGGGACCAGTTCAAGTACAATTTCCCCAGTTTCTTCAATATGCTGCTCATTTAGATAAAGCAGCATTAATATTTCCTTTAAGAGGTAAATTAGTGAAATTCCCCTGCTTCTTGAAAGCAGCAATTCCTATCAGTAAAAGCTTACAAGGATATCAATTTACTCTTCACAAAAATATAGCACTTTTTTTCTACCTGGAGGGGAAGAAATCTTTTCCTGAAGTAGCAATTAAGCAGCAACAAATGATTCATGACTTACGCTGATGATCTGTTCCAATTGCATCACATAGTACTTGGTCATTCACTATCTGATTAACTTATTAATATAGATGCTAGATAAATTACCTAGGGTAACAACTTAGAACAGGGAAATTCACACACCTAGAAACAAGTATAGTGAAGTCAGTCTTGACTACCTTCCTTGGTAGACAATGGCTAAGTTTTAACATCTCCCCATTTTAACACTGCCTGAAGACTAAAGGGACTCAAAGCAATAGGCAATGTCTACACTAACTCAGTCCTTAACCCAATGGGATCAAAGTCTGGTCTATTATTTCACTGAAACTGTTCGTATAATGGTCAGCAATGCCTTAATTACTAAGAACATGGTCCTCAAACTCTCTCCTTAACTCATCGGACCTTCCTGCAGCCCTGGATGCTGGTCATTACCTATCCGCATCACTATCCTTGCCAAACACCTCCTTTGTAAAACTTTCTGTGATATACTGATTGCCAGAGGGTGGGTGGAGCTGTCCAAGGCTCTGATGACATACCAGTTTCCAACTTCCAAAACACTATGGAAGTTTAAACTGGAAAAAAAAAAAAAGCTTCAGAGATCATCTAGCCCAACTTCCTCATTTAACAAAATGAGGAGCCAAGGCTCCAAGTCAAATATAAGTTTTCCTCCAAAAGGGACTTGGCATATAGAATTAGCAAATGCCACTCACAAAACGCTAACGTATCCTGAGAGCTGTTCCACTAGATTACAAACTCCATGAGGTCGGGAGTATGTCTGCCTTGTTTGCTGTTTCTTGGAGTCCAGAATAGTGCCTATCACGTAAGGATTGTTCAGTATATATTTATTAAGTAAATGAATTGAGGTAATTTTGTAGTAAATCACTAGCAAGAAGATCAAAATTTTCTTAGGAAAGAAAATCAGGAAACTCACTGTTTAACCACAATGGTGGGTTATATTTACAAAAATCAATAAACCTAAGGCTCCTAAAACCTGAAAAAAGCAGGAGCAGCAAAGGGTATAAAACATAGACACAGTTATAATTAAAAAAGCAAAGTAATTTCTTCGTAGCAAAGGAGGACTAACAGCGGAGGGCAAGGCTATTTTTAAATATCTACCACTCTTGTTACACTCTCCTTTGGGGGGCAGGGTTGGGGAGAGGGATCACCTGCCAAAAGGAGCTCTGTAACCCTGTCCACATTTTATTATTTCTTATGCCTTACCCGTTAAATAAGTAAAATATTCAAGAATATAAAGTAGCTCTGTCAGAGATAGAAAAGGAAAAAAGACTCAGTTGTTTCCCGGATTTTAACAGGGCCAAAAAGAAGAATGACTACCAGAAACCAAGAGCTCTTACCTCTCTGCAGTCTTTGTGGGGAACTGTCCAGGACTGAACTCTACCCGGCTGCACCATCCCGAATCTGGCTATCAACGATTCACTTTTGTGTCTATAACTGGTCAGTATGTCTTCACGAGGGAGAAATTCTTGCATAGAACAAATTATTCAGGAAATTCTTACTCAGTGAATATCAACCCCTGATTTTCTGGCTTCCTCCATGCTAGCAGGTGAGGGTCTTACCCAGGCAGATTATGAAGAAAAAGAAGCCCTCAGGGAAGACAATCCTAACTGTCAAAACCAAACAGCCTTCATTGCTCAAGGAACCATGCCCATGACCATAAAGCTTTTAACTCTATACTGAACGTAAATCATACAGACACTCATACAAAATCCCCCATGGGCAGCAATACTAGATAAGCCACACTTAGCATGCATGGTCATGTTTAATGGCTTCTTTGGGATACAAGAATCCTTCTAAACATGGAATCCTCAAGTGCTTCTCTAATAAAACAAGACAGTTCAAAAAATTAGATTATACTGAACTACTTAACTATTCAGACATAAGCATCAGACATAACACTATCTTTCTAGAACCTTCTCCCCACCTAAAAGAGAAAAAAAAAATCAGTTTGGTGAAGTACTGAGTCGGATTAGAGGTTATTTTCCTCTGACCTCCTACAACACCTCTGATGCTGCTACATTAGCATCTCTGTTGAATCTTTTTCTCAGTACTTCACACCCTAGGGCACCAACAAAAAGAAGTATTTGGATGCTATTAAAGAGCTTAAATTTTATTAGCATGTGATGAAATTGAAAAAAGACATTCAAGAGAAATATCTGTACTATACCTAGGATAGCAGGATCATTCATCTTTAAAAGCCTCCTGTGCAGACACACTGCATTATGCAATTTCATAATTAACAGTGTTTAAAAATTAAGCATGACACATGAACATGTGCACCCACACCCCCAAAATCCTCACATGGCTTTATTGTTACATGAGACTGCTTCCCAAACACAAAGACACTTTCTTCCACTCTTGCGACCAATGTTTATGCAGAGCAGACTTCCCTCTGAAATAGGCCACTTGATTGATCCCTCTCATATAGTGACCACTGATTCTCAGTTTTGCAGTCATTTTCCTACTAAAAACTACCATCTATGATGCAAAGATAACCTACAATACAGATTTTTTTTTCCATTAGTAAATTTTACTTATGTGGTTGTGAAAGAATTCGGACATCTAGATAAAGTCATCTAAAAAATAAGCTTATTAGAAATCCTCCATTAAGATACTGGGGTACAAGCATTAAGTGAAGTTTCAGTCAATTGTTAAAACCAGGTAAATATTAAATTACCTCACAAGATTGGGTTTTTTTTCTTGCATTTGCCTAGTACAAACTACAGGTCATATACGCATGAAAAGGATACATCTTCATATCCTGACACATAACCTATGAAAAACTTGAAAATAAGCATGTTTTAAGTTTATGTACCTGTTCTTGGGCAACCTGAACTTACTGAGGAAGTTGTTAGAAACTCAGGTAATCATTAACACTTTTAATAGCTCATTTGGTAGCATTTTTATATTTTTGCGAGGATTGCTAAAAGCAATCACCATATGAAAAAATGTCAATTATCTTCTACAAAAATCAAACAGCTTTCATATGTGGCTCAATGTCTCATGTAATGGAAGTAAACCGTAACTCTCGTTTTCTCAGTGCCTACCAAATCTCAGTGCTGAGATTTGGGGTAAGCAGTTCACATTTATTATTCCTAATTTTTACAATAATGCTAAAAGAGAGGGTCCCAGGAAATAAACCCTGGGGAGGCTGTGTGCAGGAGGTTTACAGGAGAGGGTGCTTTAGAACAGCACTTGCGAGAGAATGAGGTGCAGGACTGGGCAGAGAAAGAAGTGGAAGTGATTCCCAGCTGCAGCAGAGGCCTTGGCTAACCCTCACGTGAAGCAGAAAACCTGGATGACCCTTCAGAGTCGCCCTGAATTGAGGCAAGGAGGCTGTACCTCTGTATTTCAGCACTGACCAAACACTGGGTTCAGGCGGCCACTGGAGAGAGAGCCTGACCTTGGGCAACAGGAAATTCCTGGGAGGAATCCAACCAGAAGTCATCATCAGTCAGTACTGCAAGGTAGCTGGTGGGGCGGACTAGTGCCTCCCTCCTGCAGGAG